CATCATCAGAGAGTTCATGTGGGACCCATCCAGCCAATTTCCATACTTTTCCGAGCTTTTTGAGTCATCTAACAATGGTGGACTGATCGACGTCGGATTCCTCGACCAACGTCCGTGTCGTCAAACTTTCGTCCTCCTCCACCGCTTCCAAAAGAGCTTGATCATCAAAATGAGACGGACGACCTCTTCCTTCTTCATCTTCTAAGCTTGTGTTGCCGGATTTGAAACGTTCAAACCATCTTCGAACTTGTCTTTCACCGATTGTTCCTTCACCGAAGAGTTCATTGAGATCACGAAATGCTTCAGCAGCAGTGTGACCTTTCTCGAAGTGATAAAGCATGATATGACGTATATGAACGTGGTTATCGACACGCATTATTATTAAAAAAAAGTAAAAAATTTTATCTGAAGAACATAGATTGAGACAAAATGCTTAATTATAAAGATTCGAAGGACAGTAATAAAAACGGTCGTTAATTTTGCATCAACCTAATATTTTTAGTGATAAGAAATTTTATATTACCCATGTTTGCCTTTTCCTATTACGAGATAAAGTTTCGCAATCATATGAATCACATATGAAATTTTGTGTTTTTTATGGTAATGATGAATAAGGTAAGAGGTATATAAACTGAAAAGAGAAAAAGAAGCACATATACTCAAGATAAATATCGACTATGTTTCCAGTGCCTACGCCATCTGCTAGTGAATCGTTGTGTTCAAATGATATTCTTTCGTAGAAATTTCCTAAATCTCTTGGTTGTTACACATTGATCGGTCGTTCAAGAGCAGACGATGCAACTTGTTTATTCATTCCTGAACTCGATACATTATTCGATTGCGGTTGTTTAGTTACAGCTACTCGTCCTCTGCACATTTTTATTACACATACTCACTTGGATCATTGTCTTGATATTACTAGATTATGGAGTAAAAATCGAATACCGCAAGTTTATCTTCCCATATCCGCAGTTCAGCCTATAAAAGATTATATGCGGAAATGTCAAGTTCTTACGATGGTTAAAGAAACTGATCCAGATCCAGCCAAATGGGTACCTAGCCATAAGTTGATAGGTGTTAAACCTGATGATTTATTAGACTTTCGAGAAACAATGAAAATTCGTGTATTTGAAATGGATTATTCAGTGCCTTGTTGTGGTTATGGATTTTATGAACGTCGACAAAAATTGAAAAAAGAATACGTACATTTATCCAATAAAGATATTGGAAAGATGAAACGAGAAAATAAAAACCTCAAACTTAGTGAAGAACGAATAGTTCCATTATTTGTTTTTATGGGCGATACAACAGTATCGATATTCAACAGATATGAAAATGAACTTTTTCAGTTTCCATTAATTATTGTCGAATGTTCCTATATCAATAGTGAACTTCATAGAGAAGCAGCTTTGGAAGGCAAACATATAATTTGGGTAAGAAACAACTACATTTTTTCTATTTAATGCATTAGAATATTTTAGGATGACCTGCAACCTTTCGTAATCAAATATCCAAACGTTATTTTCGTACTAATTCATTTTTCACATCAATACAAAAGCACAGAAATACGAGATTTTTTTCAAAATTTAAATCTACCTAATGTTATACCATTTATTTAACATGTTCAATCTGACGAGACCCAATAATGAGTCTCAGTATTTTTTGTTAATAAATTAAATAGGAAAACACTTTCTTTTATGATTTGAGAATTTTTTCTCAGGAATAGTGGTTAACTATTATTACTTTGACAATAGGAATGAAAAAAATAACAGTCACTCACAAGTCATTTTGTCATTCATGCAGGTTATTCATTATAATGTAATGTAACAGAACGAAAGAAAAGGAAAGTGAAAAATGATAAGATTGCATTTTCGAACTATTTTAACAACACAATAAATATTCAGCAGCTACTTATTGAAATGAATAACCTTTCCGATAAAATCCTTACATTAAAACTGAACATGTATTGACTTTCAATAATTCACTTCTGTCTAATATTCGTTGAGGATTACGTTAGAATTTTTTATTTATTTGTTCATATTATAATAAAAGTTTAATCAAGACCGAATAAAATTTTGAAAATCTCCAAGCGACAGTGACTCATTGCAAGTAATTTTTTGTAACTCACCCACATGTGACACATTTTCGAGTTATATGCAGCCACTGAACGAAGTCACTGCCATAACCAAATGACATTATCATACATCTTCGTTTTCTTTCATGCTGTTGCATAATGCTATAGATGAATACCCAATAGAGAATGTGCATCAATGACATAAATAAAAAGTGACTAGTGAGTGCCCAGGTTCACAAATTCGACAATGAATCCGATGGGATCTTGTGAGATCCGGCTGTCCTATAGAATCCTATACGATTCCGTCGGCAAAATGCCAATCGCTGGAAATTTTATGATCGTTCATTTAAGCAGTATTGGATTATGGTTTTCAGCACCTGTCGGATCAGACTGTCGAATTCCTATAGGATCCGGTGGGATCCAGCTATTGGATTGATCGACTTGGGTGAGCGAGAACAATGCCAAGTGATATTAGTTTTCAAACTTTTAAGGACAATTGGTTTGAGGCTTTTGTTTATTTCATTTCGTAATATTAATTCTTTATCAGTTACAACGCGCTTTCAGAATATATGATATTTGTCTACGCTCCGTATATCACCCAGTATGAGGAAGAATGAGTATAATAATAACTGTCATATCTTCTTTTCTATTGGGTTGGTAAAAAAGTCTTTGCATTTTTTTCGAAAATTTTATTTTTATTTTTTAACTTCAAGAATACAACTAGCTTGAGGTTGTGGGTGTGAATGTCATTTCCCTCTTTATTCACACCCACACCCTATTTTTCTTATTTTCAAGAGTTAAACAAACAAATTAGAAACGAGATGCTTAACACTTAACAATAGTTCTATAGAAATAATATTGATATTACCATGACCAACGATTGGTTACACACATATAGAGAGAGGATTCGAACTCAAAAGTAAAGAAAATTGTGTCTATCACTGAAAAATGAACGACCAATAGGGGTGTGCAATGAAAACATTGTTACTCCTTCGAAGCCTTAAATGTTTGAGACATGCGAAATCTTTCTTAGATTGGTCAATGTAAAAGAATTACTAAAAACAAAAATTCTTCAATCAACTATCAGTCGATCGAATATGAAATGTTCTTTCAATGAATCATTTCATACAAATATTAGATGGCTACGAACTAAGATAATGCATTTACAAACTATCTGAATTTTTATTAAAATCTAGTAACGAAACTTGCTTGTAGCGTGTCTTATTTGCTTATACTGCTGAGTTTTGCAACAAAAACGGCACCTCTAAATAGAAAGCAACATACCCAATTGCACACATCTATTTTAAGAATAGTTTGATTTAATTTCTGCATTCCTTTCGTAGAAATATTGTGTTATAAAATTTTATTAGTATCCTAAAATTGTGATGTTCTTAAACTATTCAAGACTTTATACTATTCTTTTTCCTAAATATTCATACATTTGGAATTTTCATTGAATTTTGAATAAAATGGAGTATTTACATAGATTATCAAACCTCCAAGTTTAATTCTTCTCTGCTTGAAAATGTTGAAATATTTTTTTTTGTTGAATTCTAGCGAAAAACATATGATTTGATGCTAATAACGAATATTTGGTTATCGTTTATTTTTTTCTACTTTTACTCTGGTCTAAACTATGACATTGGAAAAAAACTAATGAAATTCTGTAACATTTGATCACGCTGATATATCATGTTTGATTGATATTAAAACTTCGACAATTAGATCAAGATGTGATATTCAACTGTTGTTTTCTTTTGTTTTTAGAAATGCACAGTTCTATTGTGGATGATGATGAGGTTAATGAATTTAACTATTAAAAACCAAAAAGTTTTGTTTTGATAAAGATAAGTAAGTCAAAGTTTTAATAATACTATCTATTTCAAAATATAATATGTATCACTGTTTTTAGAATAGCTTTTGATAGAAATATCATAGAAACCTGTAGTTTTCATCATTTAAGAGAGAAGACTCGAAGTCATTGAAATACATCGAAATTTGATTCATCAACAACTGTACAATTAGGTGAATTCTTAATGAAGATTGCCGAAAACATTATTCTGAATCTATTTTCGTTTTGATATAACCATTCAATAGAAAACATTATTCTCGTTTGGTCTGCGCATAGTCGACATTTCTAGCTTGTTCCTTTCGAGTGTTATAGAACTTTTCTTGAGACCCTCGATTTTAGTCAAGTGATCTTTGATCACATAAAAAAACAGCTAGACAAGAGTAATTCATCATGCTAAGTCGAATAATGATATCACCATTCGACTCACTATGATGAATTACCCCTGTCTCGCTGCTTACCCTGATGATTACAGATCAATTATTTGTAATCGAGAATCCTGAAGAAAAGTTACATAACATTCGAATGCAAAACAAGCTATAAATGTCAATCTTGCGGAGGCCAAACGAGAAGAATATTTTCTATCAATTAGTTCTATTAAAAGTCTAAATAAAAAAGAAAATCATGTTTAAAAATTTCCACTAAGAACTCATCTATTTGGTCAATTTTTAACCAATCAAATTTCGGTATATTTCGATGGGTCAGAGTCTTCTCTCTTGATTGATGAAAATCGCAAATCTCTATAATATTCCTATCAAAATTTGTTCAAAAAAACAATGTCACACATTATATTTTGAAATGGATAGTAGATATATACATATAGAAATTTTCTTTTAAGATATTTTGGACGATTTTCAGACAATGATGATTTTAATGATCTTTTTAGCAAAGTGAAATCATCATATACTCAAGTAGAACAAGAAGAGAAATATAGATATATTAAAAAGAAAAATAAGAAAATTATGTCATCAAACTGTTTTCTATTTTTCATCAATGGCAAGATGTTCGAGAAGATATTTTACATGAACAAAGGGCAAAATGTTTCTTTCTTGTCACTTTTATTTCTTATATTTATTGTTCTAAATGTAGTTCAACGCATGTATGGTGTGATTGTTTTTATTATTCTTATGTTTTCTACAATTAGCTTGTCTTATGTATGTTTATAGTTTATTGTTAGTTAATAGCAAAATACTTGTTTTTTTGTTTCGTTGGTATTGCTTTTGTTTGAAAGATTGAAGTAATAGAATAATGGTTGAAAGAAAATTAGTGTCTTTTTATTTTTTAGTTTTTATTTAAGAATGTTTCCAATAAGATTTATTCGTTGATATACAACTGAGAAAACTCGTGAAATAATTAAATTTTGTTATGATTTTAAATCAGCATATACTTATCTAGCATTTGAACCAGCACTTCAATTAGAAAAAGAATATCCTATTCAATTACGTTTTATTCTATGGCCATTTCGTGCTGAAGAATCTTTTGGTGGAAATCTTCAAGAACGAAATAAATTTAATTGAAATAAAGTTCGATATGGATATATGGATGTTCGATGTTTTGCTAATGAATGTGGTTTAATTATTCGTGGACTTTAACGTATATTTGATTCACGTCTTTCATTAATGTGTGGTTTATATGCTAATAAACATAATTTTTTTCTTCCATATGCTTATCGTACATTTGAACTTTTTTTTAAAGGTCAATTAAATATTGAAAATATTGATGAAATTATTAAACTTCTTTTATGAAACATCAAATAAAAATTTATCATTTGATGAATTTTCTCAAGATTTTCAAAGTTATGCTAATAATCAAGGTCAACAAGATTATTTAAATGCACAAAATGAAGCTGATCAAGATAATATATTTGGTGTACCAACATTTATTATACGTGGTGAACTATTTTTTGGAAATGATAGAATTTCATGGGTAAAAAAGAGATTAGATTCATTTAAATTACATGACATATAATCATAATCGTATCGAAACTATAACAACATCTAATAGACATCTATGTGATTTTCATTTTTGATTTCATATATTATTTCAATTAAACAAATCATTTAATTACAACTGACGACTAGTATAGGTTTTATTTTCATCTCAAATAAAGACAAAGTTAACGAAGATTTCATAATATATGATAATACTTGAAACAGAAACATTTCTTTTTTGCCAAGTATTTATATCAAACACAGTCATGAAGTTTGTCAGTGAAAGTGCCTTTTTTTTAATAAGTTTCATCATTATCATTTCCTATTACTGAGGCGTCTATCGTTCAAATAGATGGTAAAATGTTTTTTGTAATTATTATGACAGACCTCATACTCGAAATGTACGGCACGTCTTCTTTTAATAAACAAATTCTATCTACAGACTTACTATTATCTGTTTCAAAAAAGAAGAGCCATAGGTATTTTTCGAATAACTTCTGATAGATAGGAAAGAGATTTGCAATTTCTACTGTTGGATAGAGAAGATGAAGATGCATCGATTTTCATGTTACGAGTTTTTCTAATCTATTTTGTGAAATTTTCTCATAAGTTTTTCAAACAGAAAGATACCAAAAAAACTCAGAAAAATATTTTTTTTCTCTGAAAAAGAAAAAGCAAAAAACATGACCTTGTTTTCCAGGTATTGCTAGAAAAATCGGGTAAAAGCCCACAGTAACATAGCTATAACTTCTGAACGATTAAAGGTACAACTCTGATACACTTCTGAAAATTAAAAGTTAATTTTCGTAACTGAACAGGACATAGTAGTTTTCAAAAAGTTGAATTGTGAATTGTAGAAAAAGAGGGTGTGGATATGAGTGTGAATTTGAGTGTGAGTGTGAGTGAGCGTGAATGTGGGTGTGACTGTAGGTTGCTCGAGGGTATGGGTGTGAGGGAATGCACGATTCAGACCGACACCCACGCTACACACCCAGCCACACCTGTACCCACACCCACACCTTCATTAAAAAATGGACTTTCGCCCGATTAATCACAAAAGAAACTCTTCGGTCATAAGGAAATTGCAGTGAAAAATTGTGTCTTGTCTGATCAAACGGCGTTTATTCATCGAATTCTGACGGTGAGATGCTTTACATTTCTTGTATATGGTTAATCGATTGCTTGAGAGCATCGTTTTGATCAGTGTTTGTACTTGAATGTTCGTCCATAATTATCTATGGTGTCTACTGTTACATGTAGTTTGAGTTAGTAGTTTATCGAAGAAAAGATAAAATATTAGTTATTAGTGCTAACAGTGTAGTCTAGTTACAAGTCTTTTAGTAAGCATCTCTAAAAAAGCAAAGCTCAATTTAATGTTCCACATATATAGCATTAAAATAAAACTGGTTGAAAGTTGCACCAATATTCTACGGATGTTTAAGGAAAAAGACGATACTTAGGTACAGTAGCATAGCATGAACCACATTTGTATTGTTTTATTGTTGCACAGCCAGGGTTTGTCGTAGTAGAATATTCCTGAAGAGTAGATAGACATAATAGATTTATAATGTTCAATAAAACAGTATCACAGCAGCTTACATATGCACCAACAGTCGGTGTTGTGGTGGATCGTACCATTCCATTGTAATCATACAAAGGAGGTTGATAACATAGATATGAACCATTATTGATCAATAGAGATCCTACAGCCGGATAGAAATTATAGGCTGTAACATTTGTGAAGACATTATTCGAGACTGGGAATGTTCCATACCATCGAATGCCAGTAGCACTAACAGTGCCATTGTGAGCGTTAGCATAAATCAAGACACCTAAGCCAATAAAGAGTTAGATGTTTAGAACATGCAATCCTAGTATCTTGACATACTCACCAGTTAAATCATTGGAGGCTTTGATTGATGGCTGACTTCCACAATATAGTACATTATTCATGATTACTATGTTCTTATTTGTTATACCATTTAGACGAAGACAAGCATCTGTTTTTGACATATAAACAGTATTATGATTTATGGTTATATTTCGAATGTAATTAACAACAGAATAAATCGAGTTCTGCATGACAGCGATTCCAGCAATATCTAATAATAGAAAAAAATATAATTAATAGTTTGTGTTCTTTACTCTCCGAACTAATCATTGTTTTTCTCCTTGTGAAACAAAGTCCTATTCTTCATAATGAAATATCTTACTGTCTTGTCTCTATTTTTTACTCTAATTAATAGCAGCAATAAGAAGAGACATAAGGAAAAGTTACTTATATTTCACGATATACTATATTTTTATCAACACTGCTGTTTTTGTAATTCTTTTTTGTAACTTCTGACTTATGGGATTTTTGGCGTCGAGCATATTTTTGTCCATAACCTTTGACTCGAAGACAAGACGTATTGCTTTGATTACAACAAAATGGTAGACACTGCTCCTGACATCTTCTTGTGCAGCTTGTGGAAGTACTGAGAATAGGGAGCTAATTGTAGTAAGAATCCTGCTAGTATCTTTCGGAAGAAGTCTGTGTGTAAGAGTGCGAATTGAATTTTCATATAAATTTTGTGTACTTACTGGCATTAATGACAATATTATTGGTAATGGTCGCTCCCGATGTACATTGTATACCGACATCAGCCGTTCCAGCATTTATGGCCAAATTTCCATCAATCAAGTTTCGTCCGCGATCATAATCATCATAAACAAGAATACAAGGTCCCACTACATTGTAACAAACGTTGTTACGAAGGGTTACATTATACGAGCCAGACTACACAGACTCATTTTCCTCTAATAAAACAACAACAATCTATATTTACTTTAACTTGAAATCCAGCCCGTGACCCTCCCGATGAACCAAGTGTATCGTGACAATAGTTGTGATCAATCAGAGAATCACGAATTCGACATCCATCATTTTCACAACCGAGATAAACACATTCACCTGTTGTAGCAGCTGTATTTGAGAAAACAATAGCAAGACAGTAAAGGAGACATAATTCAAGATCGATACTCACCCACAGCGTTTGTATTTGTCATCTCACTGTTTCGTAATGTTATGTTGACATATTCATTTCCGACATCATTGGCTGAAAATGCCATTCCTGTAATGTTGTAAATGTAGATGCAGTCAAAAATGGCGTTCTTTGTAACTAGATGTCAAGTATGAAAATATGAGATACTGAGGAACAATGAAATATCGACAGGTACTCACCACCCGGTCCCAGACGAATGCCTCGTGAACCTTTGGTATATGCTATATATTTCACCATAAAATTCGAACCCTGAATATTTATGACATTTTGAGCATTCGGACCGGTTTGTGGACCCTGAATGATCGGACGTGATTCATTAGGTGCACCTTGAATAATAATTGGATTATTGAGAGTTCCGTTCAAAGTCAGTTGTATATAGCCAGACCCAGGAATTGTATAAATACCGCTATGCATAGTCACAATGTCACCTGCTTTCAAATTCTCCAGAATAGATAGCGTGTTGGTTGTTGACGGATAGATATGGTACATAGTACTTTGCGCATGAAAAATAGTAGTCCAAAAAAGGATCAGAGTCAAAGGTGACATAATATCGTGTGTGATGTCGACTCCAAGTGTATATGTAGATGATCAATCTATTGCTATCAAATAGTGAGATAGTAATTTGCTAGTACGTGTGGATACATAATTAGAAAATGTGTTTTGAATTCGATGAAGATATACTTGTACGAAAAACTCATAACAATCAGTCTTCTCCAAAAGAATGCTCAAGAATGGAACGATTTCTTCCACTAATAAAGACATTGAAAATGCTTTTTGTCAAGAGATTATTTTGAAACAGTAGATTGATGACAAAATCTTACGCTCGACATTAAACCTCATAATTACAATGTGGTTTATGTAAAAGTAATGACATATGACAAGAAGTTTGGTCAGTCTTTGTTACCTAGAACACGTGGCTGCAGTACTACCATTGAAATTTTGAACTATTCTAATAGACATAAAATTTATCTGTGAAGAAAGTTTGAGATCAATCCCCGGCAATTCTTTTTCTTTCACATATACTTTGTCCAAGGTAATAATTATTAAAACAATCATAACTCAAAAAGGACACTTCTTCAGGAGTAATTATCTTACACTTCTGCTAAATTCATCGAACTTTGCTAACTGGTAGGTATTTGAATTACAATGATAAGACAAGCATAGGAATCTTCTCATGTAAGTATGAAATCATTGTTCTAATTTTGAAGTTTAAGAATACGTTTCAGGACTGAATCAAGCTCTTAGAAGAGAGAGAACAGCGAAAGTAAAAATCTTTTTTGACTGAGAAATATCAATCGGAAGACAATACTTTGATTGTCGACACAGCCTATAGGACTGGCAACGACATTGTTTAATGACGTTTCTCCGATTTGAGGGAGAGACGAAATCATGACTGATATGAGCACTTTCTTTCACTGGAAATCCTTAGGATCGATTCGATTTTGTCAAAGCCTTTAGTTAGTTTTCACCATGATATATCGTAATGATGAACAGCTGGTGAACGAGCAGATCGTTGTAGGACAATTCGTTGCATGGACAAAACGTCGTACAAATAAAATGTTACATGGACGAAATGTCGTATGGACAAAACGTTGCAACATTTCATTGTGCTAGATATTTCTATATCTAAAGTCGACTTCATAAAATATGATACTAGGGTGTTGGTGCAAGCTATGGGTGTAGTACCAGCGCATAGTTGCAGGATGTAGGTGTGAGGTTTAGGCTGTAGGTGTGATGTATGAATAGGTGTGGGTGAGTTTGCGCATGCACCTGTAGATATGAGGTGAGCGTGTGTATTTGAGCAGGATAGGTGCACTGCAGGTAGTTATAACTAGCATAACCCACACAAGATTCTCTGTTGCCATTAAATAACATCCACACCCACACCGAACAGCTTGCAGACATTTGTAACTTTTGACTTACTTCGCAAAAATATTATATCATCTGAACGTCTGCTAATTGCTCCCAGGAGAGGACCTTATATAGGAAGCATATTACTCTGTTGTCCATTAACCTAACATGAGGATAACTTTCGTTGAGTCTAAATTGCATGGCATCGTTTACTGTCGCTTGTATATTGCATCAGTGAAGGTGAAGAACGATGGAGAAAATAAAGTGCATCAACCTTAATGCACAAAGTATTTGTATCCACTACGATTTTCTTTCAGTCAAGTCAATTTATAGCGAATGAGTCTCGTGCCTACGTAAGAAAAAGTAAATACCAATGCACTTTGATCATAATTTTTTGTATATTAAATCACCGAAGGGAAAGTCATAGTGTAACATTGGAAGGAACAACTTCAATAGTGCAGCATGCATGTTTAAAGAAGCGTAAAAAATTTTGTTTATTTCGTTGGCATGGTCTATAATATGTGCTTACATCAGTTCTTATACGTTTCATTTGCCTTTGGAGCACATAAGCATTATAAGATGTTTTTTTTTGCCATTGGCAATACTTCATCATGGTGAGGGTTCTTCAATAATGCAATCTACATGGTAGACTTTGGGCTGAGTGAAAATAAATCCATTAGAACCCGTTTCGACCATTTGAAATCGACAGAAAAAAGCAAAATGGGAGCGCAATAAATTGGAGATCATGCAAGAATCACAGTATGATGTTTGTTGGCATTGAAGATTGAAGTTAGCAGGTGATTTTATTCTCTTTCTTGTCAACAGGTTCTCTTACAAACGTGTACCTCTATCTCTATGTATGTTTCTGTGTTTAATCGACGAAAATGAAACAACATGGGAAATTTTTGTATAGTCGCACGGCTCTAATATTTAAAAAAAGGAGTCGTTTTTAATAACTAATCCATGTATATCAATCTGAAAGTTGAATTCAACTATTCAATTATTGAATAATTGAAGTAAAGTTCATCAATTATTCGAATAATTGAATATCTTTACTTCAGTTATTCGATTAGTTGAATAGTGGAATTGTTGAATATCTAAAAAGGTCTTCAATAGTTGAATTCAATGCTCAACTTTGATACTACTGACCAATCCATGTGATGGCGGTTCATGGTCAGAATGATGCTGGCGGTGAATTAGAACTAAATTGAAATGAAAACATCTAACTGTAATTTTATAGGATAATAGAGTCATCTGTCTGTTAAACAATTAGAGAAACGCAATTGGAAGGAAAGAGACTGTATCAAGAATCCAAGAGAGTAACAATGCAACTGATAACATGTGATAAAAGTAGCAAAAGCGAATCAGGCCAATCATAGCCAATCAAGTCAAGTATAACATAGCAGCAGTCGGATGTTCATCAATCAATTGCTCATATTGATCTTAATTCATCGATCGTATGTTGTTCGTACTGCTTCAAATATCATTGTGTGATGCCCGAATGAGGGAAATTGAACCAACAAGTTTTGAAAGAGAATCCTGAACAAATTCTTGAAACCTCATGAAGAAGTTCAGATCAAAGAGACATCAGCTTTGATTAGTTCCTGCCCCGCGCAATTTGAATTTCGTTCTTTGAACATGATCAGCATTGACGTTTTCAGATTAAGTAATGAAAACAGACAATAATTTCTTCTTTCACTCGATTAGTCGCATCAGTTTATTTTTCTGCCATAGTGAAAACGCGTTCTTCGTGCTACCATTCTTCCATTTGCTCATGGAGAATTAAGCAAGTCTATAAATGCTTCTTTCTAGCTCAGCATTTGTTTTTTCTATTATTCGGATCAGTGCCATTCAAAGAGTCGCTCGCTGATATAAAGCTTTACTTCAAGGGATCAGGCAATGGTATGGTGTTTATTTACCGTGCTTAATTTGCCATGAGCTCAAATAATACTCACAGCGAACTGCAATAATCAAAACGAAAATGGAAGAAGCAAAATTTTATTTCCATTTTTGTGAAATACGATCTGAAAGAAGGGTGTGGGTGTGGGTGTGGGGTGTGGGTGTGGGTGTGGGTGG